GTTAAAAAAGTTTCCCACTGACATTTTAAAATCAAGTTCTTGCATTGTTGTTAACTTTATTCACTATACCGAAGGTATTTGAGCAGTTCCTCCCACCCCATGAGGACGAAGATTGCAGTGGGGGTCCCGGATGTGTTGGGTGACATTTGATACTATAAGGTGTTATTGTAAAAGGTGCAGCATGTATTTTTGCATCATAGTTTCTATTCTAACACTAACTTGAATTTCTTAGGCTCACTGAACCCTGAGAGTCTTGTATTCCTCAAAAGCATTTTAAGGGAGGTGTAGCAAAGTATCCAATCGGTTTTGATGGCAGTAGAATTTGAACTTAGCTACAGTTATTATGTAAAGTAACATCTGACAGATATTTGTTCCTACTTTGTATGTGAACCTCTTTTCATGTTATATCCTTTTACAGTTTAAGAAGCTCATGGTGGTTTCTGCCCACTTTTATACTGCTTCCATCCATAATGAAAGATTTGGCTCGAACATTTCTGGAGCTAGTCAGTATTCTAACTTTAATTTTCCACTTGCCTCTGCCAGGCCTCTAAAATATCTCTTTTTACTGAGAACTCCTCCAAAAGGTACAGCTGTGTGCTGGTTTCATCTTGCACTTTGTAGCTATGTTGGCAACATTTAGTATAAGGTATGCTCCCATCTCCCACACATTGCTGCTGCTGCTGCCCAAGTACTGTTCAGGCCTGTCCATGTTACCGGCTTGAGAAGAGCCCCAAGATTGCAGGGAAGCCAGGACTCTTTCACATGATTGGTTGTCGTTGGGGTAAAGGAGGAAAAAAATAGAACTCATGGAAAACGCACCATTTGATGTGTCCTCCAAGATCTTCCTACAGCCTGGGAGACCAAAGTCATCTTTGTCCTTGCAAATGATGAAGAGAGAACATGGTAGACTTTTTACCTCCTGCCTTTTAGTACTGTGGAGAGAGAATGTGCTTCATATCTTCTAGTTCTTCTGCTATTCCTTTTCTTCAAGCATGCTGATAGCTATTCTTATAAAATAATTCAGTGAAATGAAATCTGTTGCTGAGGTGTAGTTAAAGGAATTCACAAATTTGCACAGATTTGAAGAAGTGGGCTTGATTCTCCACAATTTAGTCCCTTGTCTAAGCTTCAGAATTCCAAAACAGTCCTCAGTCAGGTACTCACCCAAAGTTTGTTGAGGATGTTTTGAAATGCTTACAAAAGTTAACATTTGTAAACTTTGGGAAGACTGGACTCTGTTCTACTTCTTTTCCCTACAGAGTTTATGGAATAAAAATGGGCTTTGTGTCTTAGTAATAATTTAGTGTCACTAGATTTTATGATTGTGGTGCTTTATCAGAAAGTAATTGTTTAAGAGGTCACTTGTTAAATCTGGTGATTATTGTTTCTGGTCTTCATTTCTTAGATGGATGGGTGCTGAATAACTGCCTTTTGGCGAGGGAGTGGATTAAAGACACACTTGTTTTTATTTTATTGTGTTTCTTGAACGACTTCTATGCCTAAGGTAGATGTTGTCATACAATTATGAGACTTTTCAAGGAAAACAGATTTAATAACATAAGTTGTAATGGTGAATAGGAAGTCCTTGAAATCTTGTGTGTCACCTTGCTTCTGTTAAATGGTACCTTTTAAAACTCCTGTTGCATATTTTCAGCAGCAGCCTTGATAATACAGGCATTTGAACAGTTGAATTACAGCATGTACAATGAATTTTTAGACAAAAATTTGGTGCATTCTTTTAAACTTTCAAATTTTCTGCAGGGCCAACCTATATGAATTTTAAGGAATGTTCCAGTACCTTGGGAGATAGGCTAGGGATAGGAATTAGACCATGATTTCTTTGAAATGTGGAACTCCCTGGAGAGGAACTCCATTTACTAATGCAGGTAGATACCTTCTTTGCAATTTAAGAGTCTTGGAGAGTTGTCTAGAGCCTTGAGCAATTACATGACTTGCTCAGAGTTACCTATAGCCAGTATGTGTCAGAGGCAGGACTTGAACCCAGTTCTTCTTGGCTTCAAAGCCAATCTCTCTACTCAAGCGTGGCAGGTATCTTAAATTTTTTTTTAAATATCACCATACTGTGGGGTTTTTTGTTTGTTTTGGAGTAGACCAAAGTGGTAAGGAATTTTGTAGAGATAAATAAATTGATCTCTTGACTTGTAGAAATATTCAAATGACATGGAAGGAACACACTAAAATGTATTTGAAATCAATTTTTTTTGTTCTGTTTTCAAAGCTAATGTGTAAGCATAGATTTATTGTATATGTGGCACATACACACTCTCACAATCTTATCATCATAGTGATTATCCACAGAGAATCTGTTTATATTTAAAAATCACAGTTGGGTGAAATCAGTGCTTTTTCTTACCACCAGCTTTTCTTAATGCCAAAATAATTAAATTGCCAAGATTTCCAAAGGAATCTTTTTGAACCCTTTCTTCTGTAGTCACTTAGTTTTATTTGACTGTCCCCATTTCACAGATTTCAAAAAAAGAAAATAAGGAAGCAAAGAGGAAGGGAAGAGTGGGAGTACAGTTTTTAGCCAGTAATTAGAATGTTTTACATCAACTTAGTTTTGCCTTTAGTGTGAGGAGGCACATTTGTGCGTACTTGAAATGATGAGTAGTGTACTGGGGATGCATTCAGGAAGACCTGGGCTCAAATTCCCCTTTAGGTATTTATTGAATTTGTGACCTTGGACAAGTCATTCAGCTATCTCAGTTTTTCCTCAACTCTTAAAGAGTAGATAATAACAACTGATCTCTCACGAGGTTGCTTTGAGGATCGAATGAAGTCATTAATGTAGCTTGTAAACTTTTAAAACTTTATATAAAATGTCAGCTCTGTATATTATTATTGTGCTTGAGGCTTGAGGGAATCCAAATTGATGGCTTTCCTTTGGCCTCAGGGTTTTTTTTTTCCCTCACTTTTTAATCTGCACTTTTCTTCAGTCTTTTTTTTAGTTGAAAATAGAAAATTTTGAGATTTTTAAAGTGTAATTCATTCTCTGATAACATTGTTTTTACATATAATTATCTTATTGATTTTTACATATAATCTTTATATAATATAATAAACATTCTTTTGCTTTTACTTATAATGATCCATGTTGAAGATGGGAACTGGTTGTGGTGAGCAGGGTCAATGTGATCTGGTAATATCACATAATATAGAGGAAGAGAGAAGTGGATTGTGTTGTGTTTGAGAAATCAAGCATTGTGGGACTTTTTGCTTTCACTTTGTAGCATTTTTAAATAGAGTCTGTTTTTCAGATATATTTGCTTTTTTGTGTGTGTATGTGGAGCTGGTGTATATCCTTTTATTGTCTTAACTTGAATTTGCTTTGCTCAACATTTCATTTCAAACAGTTATGCTCAGATATACCTTATTCTGTCAGAAATTTCCCATTGTTTGATAAGGATGTCTTATCTCTAAACGTCCCTGCTTTCTAAATATAAAGAGAAGAAGCAGCATTTATTTAGTGGTGTAGCAGGCACTGAGCTAAATGCTTTACAAATATATTTTCATCTGATCCTAGCTACAATCTTGGGAGGTAGGTGGTGTTATCCTGATTTTACAGTCGAGGAAACTAAGGCAGACAGAGAGACTTGTCCAGGGTCATCAAGCTGGTAAGTGTCTGAGGCAGATTTGAATTGAGATCTTCTAGACTGCGGGCCCTGTACTCAATGCACTGTGCTACCACCTACATTTTAAGCTTTTTAGCTACAGATTTTAGAAGGAAAAGAAAAACAGGTTTCGCTTGTAGATTAGATGAGTGTCAACAAAATTGTCTATGAAGTTTATTTCTATAGCAGGAATACTCTATTCCTTAGAGCAGAGACATTTTCCATCAGGGTGAAGGAACAAGGATAAGCTTATAAACTTTGAGTCCAAAAGAAAGTAAAGGGATAGGGGGGCCCTGTGGATGTAGCTATGCCTCTATCTAGAGAATGTTCTTTGACATTTTGTAGGCTCTGGCTCTGTATACACAGCTCCTGGATGACTTTTTTTGTTTTTGTTGTTTGTTTGTTTGTTTTGTCTAATAGCTAGAGTCACCAGCGAACATATGATATAATCTTGCCTGAAAATTTCTTAAGTCTCTCTCTGACTGTATAGATTTAATTAAAATGACCTAATGCCGTTTTAAAAATAATTCCAAAAAGCAGATGTTTAATGAGATAATTTTGCATGGTGCTCTATCATGGTAATTGAGAAATATATAATTCTTAGGCTGTCTGTATTTGAAACACAAGCTTTAATTGAATAAATTTGTGTGGGCCATTTTAGTATGTATTGCTTCTCATAAAGAATATTTGGTTAAGACCCTAGGAATATTTAACACAAAAAGGGGAAAAAATAGATTATATAAAGTATCTATTTCCAAATAAAAGCATATGATGAGTCACCAAAAAAAAAAGCCCAAAGTCTAAATGGAAATAGGGTGAATTTTTGCAAAATATTGGCCACACATGTAGAGATTTTCATATTGAGTCTGTTCCTCCTACAGTCTATGGTTTGACAACTTTGTGGAGAAAGTACTTAGCTCCCTCCTCTGGCATACTGTGAGAAAAATTACTTTTGCTGCCAAAAGATTTTCACTTTTTTTTTCTTTTTGGCGATAGAATACAAAATGTCATATGCAGTGTCAAAGAAAGAAATATTTGTGTGAATAACATCATCTAAAGTGTTTTTGTAGTATTGTAGTTTTGGTTTTTTTAACATGTAAATGGACCCTAGAAAAATTGTTGCATAAACACTAGCATTTCAGAAACCATTCAATATTTCTCTTCTGACTAAAATGGATACATACAGTCTTGAGTATTCAACAGTGGTGGCATGAAGCCTTCATTTGAATATAGAACTGACAGTATACATTTATTAAGGTTGAGAGTAGATAAAATTAATTTAGTTCTTGTTTTAAAAATTAACTTTTTTGTCTTGTGACTTATAAACTCAACATTTTTAACTCCTGTCCCCAATTTTTTTTCTTCTAGGTTTTACACTTCTAGACCTCACAGAGCAGTTTTCCTCTTCTGCAGTTGCTCCACCAATCCTTATTAAATTAGTGGAAGCTATCGAAAAGAAAGGTATGTGTTAGGATTGCATGCTGATTCTGTCTGATAGGGCCTTGGGTCATTGATCTTCTTTGTGTATTTCTTACTTAGTCTTGAAGGAAATACCAGAAACTCAAGTCATAGAAAATAGTTTTCATCTGATTTTTGCAGTCAAATGAAGTTTATCCTCCAATGCCTCATCACTTAATCACCCAGCACATATTAAGTACCTGCTAGTGCCTACAACTGAGCTTTAGCCTTGGAGATATAAAGACAAAAATGCTGGTGATCCTGGGTTTTCAGAGCCTTTGCCAGTGGGGTTCAAGTTCTGGTGGAACCTAACAAATTAGAAAAATTTCATGTATGAGGGTTCTGGTATCTCTTGTAAGAGGCCCAGCCTAGCTAAGCATGGATAAGCTGATCAGCAAAGGGTAGGCTAGCCTGGTGATCATATTTTTGGGGGCCACTACAGTTTGTGGAATTGTAAGTTACTGCCTTCTGAGTCATCGTAGGTAGATGTCTAAGTCAGTGGAGGGAGCTCCAACACCAGGGATGTCATAGATCTTTTGAAGTATTAGAGACAGTTACTAAATAATTTTGGCCCACACTATGTATATAACAGTAAAATAACTTGTGCCTGCACAGTTGTTCACAAATCACTCCCCTTTGAAAGGCTTGTTGCAGGATTTGACCTTTACAACATTTTAAGACATATAGAATAAAATACCTTTTCTAGAACTTAAAAATAGATGTTAATGGGAAGTGGAAGTGCCTTTCTCAGTCGGTCAGCAAGTATTTATTAAGCATTTATTATGTGCCAGACACTGTGAATATAGATATAAGCAGAAAAATGTCTAACGGGGGAGACAAAACAAAAAAGGAAGCTTAAAAGGTGAGGTTTGGGCTGTGGAAGCCTGGTAGAGGGAGATGAGGATATATAGCCTGGGGAAGAATGAGATATAGATGGCTTGGGTGCCCTCCTTAAATGGGGTTTCTGGGAGGAGCCATCCTATCAGAAACAGAAGCGAGGGGCAGAGGGTACCTTGAATGTGTGATTTCCAGGGCTGGAGTGAGACTTTATGATGAAGAATCTGGAGCATGATAGAAGGGCAGCCTGTGGTTTATGGGTTCTCCAAGAACATTGGGTTTTTTTATGAACACAGACTGTTTTTTGTGTTTTAGGCCTGGAATGTCCAACTTTGTACAGATCCCAGAGCTCAAGCAGCTTAGCTGAACTCCGGCAGCTTCTTGATTGTGGTAAGTATCTCATATCTAGGAGTATATAGAACACAAAGGACATTTTTTTAAAAAATAATTTTTAAATTAAAATTTAATAATCCCCCCCCATTACATGAAAATAATTTTAAACATTTTTTTTTTAAATTTTGAGTTCTAAATTTTCTCCCTCTGTCCTTTCCCTGTGTTCTGTCAGGAGTTAAGTTAGATGCATTTCATCACTCTTCTTGTATGAGTAAGGATGCCCCAAGAGTAAGATTTACTTCAAGTACAGTTTCCATTTTGTGTTGTGCATCACCTGAAATAGATTGAGTAAGAAATGTCTTTTGTAACAGTATGGCAGAAACTAGGTACAGACCAACATCTCACACTGTATGCCAAAAGAAGGTCAAGATGAGTACACGATTTAGACATAAAGCCAGTAACTAAACCCATGGTTACTAGTCATAACTAGCCAAGAAAGGGAATTGGTACCGAAGAACTCCACGTCTTCCCTCCTTCCACCCTATAAATTAGTCACCTACCTCTAAATCATATAGGTAGGTTTGGCATAATAGATAGAAGGGACTGAACTTAGAGTCAAGAGCACCTGTGTTCAAATCTGAACTCTGACTCTCTGTAACCACAGGTTGAGTTACTGACTTGTCACTCTGATCTTCAAACACGTCTTATGCTTAAGTGACCATATTGGCTCTTTGTAGGAAATCACAGGTCTTCAACATGCTAAGACACGCTATTATAGAATAGTTACCTTGTGTGTGCTCTACTTTTCTCGTGAGCCATCTGTCTTATGCTGAATTCTATTTAACATTAATCTACACAGTAATTATCTTTACTGATCATTTTGAAGTTTGATGAATTTTAGGGTTTTCACTTTTTCTACAGGCAGAAGTATTAGTAGCTGTTATAATAACAACAACTCTGGGACCTTCTCCATATCAGCATAAAACACCCCTCATCCATTCATTCATTCATTCATTCATCAAACATTTACCTAGGACTTGGGGGAAAATATACAATTTAGTTAAGCCATGATGACTGCCCTCACAAAGCTTAACCTTGGGGAGAGGCTGATGTGGAGATAGGATGAAAACTCATAAAACTAATACATATCATGACATGGAGAGTGGTAAAACAAAGTATTGTGTGTGGTCTGTCTTGGTAGAAGTCTTCATGGAGGAGATGAGGTTTGAATTGAATTCTGAGAGATGAGTAAGCACCAAGCAGGAAGGAGGACATCCTGAGCGTAGACACAAGGCATGGGTGGGGGTGGGAAGTGCAACGTGTGGTCAGGTTTTTGTGTAGAGTTCACCAAGGGTAAATGGTATGAGATAAGGCTCATCCCACAGGGGAGGACCTGAATGCTAGTCTGAAGAGTTTGAGCTTTATTTTGGTAACAAGAAGGAATCATGGATGATTTCTGAGCAGAGGATTGACTTGAGCAGATCTGTGTACAAAAAAAGGTGGTGAGGCCATATGTGAAGTGACTTGGAAGGAGGGACTTAATAAAGCCACAGAAAAGACGATTAGCACTAGTGCAGGCCAAGGGTAACAAGGTCCTGTGACAGTGGGAATAGGTAGGAGGGGAGGGACAGTAGAGGAAATGGAACCGGCAGGTGATTGGATGTGAGAGAGCTGTCAAGGTGATTCTCATAATGCCATAAAAATAGCTTGAGTAAGTTAGTTTTTATTATGCCTTTCTCTTGTCATCTATCTTCCAAACTTGCCAACTCTGCATTTCAGAATCACCAAGGTAAATATAACATTCTAAGCAACATAATCACTATTACAGTGAGTAGTAGTATATTTTTCCTTTAAGAGTTAATAATAAATGTTGTCTGGGTGTGCACATGTGCACACATATGTCTGTGTGTTTCTCTGTGTATTATGCTTCTCCGTATTTTTTTTTTACTTTATTCAACAAGCCAACAGTTGTTACAATCTATATCAAGGATAGAAATATTTTCTGATTTTTAAAAAAATTTCTATTTCAAAAAGTACATTTTCAGGCTAAAATTCAATACTTTGAATGAAAATGCTTAATATCAGAACTATGTGATATTGGTTAATTTGAAATGTCTGGAATATTAAAGAAGTTTTCTGATGGATTTAAAGTATCACTTATGTTTATCTTAACTGTATTCATATGATTAGGAGCAAAGGGACTCTTCACTCAGCAACTTTTTTTTTTTTTAGTGAGGCAGTTGGGGTTAAGTGACTTGGCCAGAGTCACACAGCTAAGGAAGTATTATGTGTCTGAAGCTGGATTTGAACTCAGATCTTCCTGACTCTAGGGTCAGTTCTCTATCCGCTGTGCCACCTAGCTGCCCCATTCAGCAACTCTTTATCAGGAACCTACCCTGTACAAAGCACAAAGATGCCTTGTTTTTTTATTTTCCTGTTTAAAAAAAAAAAGTGGAAAAAAGGAGGATTGTATGAATATTGGTCTATATTCTTCCCCACCCCGTCTTTTGCTCAGCTAGTCTAAGATAGAATGTAAAATTTTAAAGCAGGCTTTTCTTTTTTAAATGCCTTTACAGAAATCTAGTTTTCCCCAAGACAACGTCTTATGTTATTTATCAAATTTTATTTCATCTTTTTTACTTGTCCATACTGGTCATACTGATCATCCAACAAAGTAGCCGTCATCAAGGATAATAGAATTGTTGAGTTGTAGATTTATGACTGAAAGGGATAGCATAGGCTGTCTAGTCCACACCAGGGCCTGTCCATCTCCTCCCCCATTTCGCAGATGAGGAAACTGAGGTAGAAGGACTTTAGGTCACACGGATAGTAACTTTTCAGGGGTTCTTTTCAAGCCCACTGGTTCTTCCCCACACTCCCAGGGAATAGCAGAGGAAAGGAAAGGCCCTGGAATTAAAAAGTATCCCATGCCACAGAGAAAAATGCCTAGGACAAAGTATAGAAGCAAAGAAACTGAAGTCAAAGCCTGATTATGGCTCATAGTCCCATAGTGGCCTTGGACAAATTAGCTCATTTTCACTTTCAATTAAATCACTTCTCAGCCTTAGTTTCCTTATGTGTAAAGTGAGTAACCTTTAAAGGTCATTTTCACCTCTGTCCTATAAATGTTTTGTGATGCCATGATCCATTGAAGAACCCTCTTGAACAGGCAGGGGGGAATTGTACTGTTAGGTTTATGTAGGTAATTGGAAGTCAGAAAGACTATGGCTAAAAGACTGCCAGTCTTGTTCCTTCTCCACCAGAGAAACTTCGGAAGGGATCAGAGAAACAAACATTTGTTTCTTAGGCTAGGCAATTAATGTAGAATTTCATGTTTTAAATAGGAAATTTGTTAAATAGTATAAAGGTCAGAGGAAATACAGACATCAGAGACTCATGATACGTCTACAAAACACTGTGAAATTGGTGGTTGAATCTTAAGGTAAACCATGTATAGAAGTGAACCAGGTTAGCAATAAATATCTTCATGCCATGTTATTGGCACAAGAACCAGAGTTTGTGTAATCAAAATATTGTGAGATTAAATTGGTGACCTCCTTGAGGGCTCTGAGAAGCACCAATAGAAGAAAACCAGTTTGGGTCTCTGCTTTCCTCCTCCTTTGAAATGAGGGTAACGATGCAGCAATCACCAAGATTCTTTTTATCTCTGATAATCTGGGGATTCTTTGTTGGGATGCTGAACCACAGTAGTACATTCATTGTTGCCAGAGAGAAGAGAAGGCTGCCTCAGTCGAGACATGGGATCAGACCACCTGAGCCAAGTTTCCAGCACATTTTCTCTTTCATGAAGATGTATGATCTAGAGGGAGATTTGGGGAAGAGCTGTTTAATCAAAATTTGGGAAAGCATGGCTTTGCATCTAGCTGTGTGAATTGCCAAATGCTCATCTAAGGTTTTATGTTCAGATGTGTGTTTGTGTGTGGTATGTATTTAATTGAAGATAATTTGCATCTTTAAAAAATTTAGAGATCAAGGAGTGTAATGGTTGAGAGACATAATTAGTGAACTATAATAAGATTAGTAAAGAATTTAGGGAACAGAAAAAATGAGTGTTTTCAGGCCTGTAAATTATTTAAGTTTTTTGGGTTTATGTCTGAAGTAATTATGGGACAGAGTAGTTAATGCTAGTGTCACAATCGGAATATAAGTCTCAAGGGAAGAAGTACTTTAAAAGCACACACATACATTAAAGTAGTAATAATAATGTTTTTAAAGAATACTTAAAGATAGTATGTCCTATAAAATGAACTTTGGGCCTTAAAACTTGCTGTTCAAATTGGCTTATTTCTTATTGGCATACTCTTTTACCTGTATGGTTCCCCAGTTATTATTCTCATAGTTGGCTTTCTATATACAGAGAAGCTTCTATGTATTCACATTGTACTCAGATATGGGAAGTATGTTTGGAATGCTAAATTTAATGTCTTCTAGAAAATTTATGTGTCAAGTGCAAGGTTTTCCTACAAAGGGAAGCATCTAATCATGCAGATAGTAAAATTAATAGTAGTAATCTGTTAGGCAAATAAACAGATTTATTTAAGTATGCAGGAGACCAGAAACATGCTAACAAGTACCAGTCTGTAGGGACATTGGGCAGGCATGCACATACTTACTTGTAAGACTGATAGTATTAAAAACTATCTAGTGTTATAATACCACATTCTCAGTATAAAAAAGACAGGAAATAGTGAATCATTAAATAATTTTGTTAACTCGTTTGAGAGTCTGGACTGGGTGATAGTGAGCAATATTGGAGAGAGTAACTCATCTTGGTGAGATCTTTGGCATATCAAAGGATGCCTCATTTGAAGATTGTCACTGAAGAGTAGCTTATCTGGCATCTTAGTCTCGAGTCTCCAAGGTTTGACATTTGAAATTCTAAGGTCAGAAGTCTACAGCGAGCCTTGTGCCTGCTTGCCTGGGGATAGGATAGACAGTAGCTTTTCTCAGGATCATGGTTTCTTAGGTAAGTGATTGAGAACAACACAAAGCTTGATGGTGCTCTTTCCTCTCCAAAACTTGAGGATGGGCTATGCTGGCGAGCTTCAGAAGAGTGAGTTTTCAGTGAGTAAGATCTCTCGAATCTCCATGTCCTCTAGCCCCCATTTTGTGTATGATTTTTTTCTAGTTGAATAGATGCTGCTGTAGTTCCTCTCTCTTTCTTTAGGGCCAGCCAAGTCAAATGTGTGACCCACAGGCCTTTCCACACAGAGTACAAATGTAATCTGTGGTTAGCTGTTCTTGGTAGGGTCCGAAGTGGTTTGGAGTATTACCTTGCAAACTGCAATATTTTTTCTTACCTCCCATTGCTTTGTACCAGTTGGATCTGTCTCGGTGCTTTTTGTGTCTGTCTTCTTATGACACTTCGTACTACAAGCATCTTAACCTTGTAGCAGGTGGTTTGCTGGGGAAGTGAACTGGGCTTATGGTAAGGGATTTTTCAGGGTACCGTTTCTATTTTCTGTGCAATCTTGGAGTGATTCTGAACTGTCTTAGGTATTTATTGCCCATTATCCCAGCCATTTAGGCTCAAAATATCAACATATCTTTGATTCTTCCCTCAGACACCCCGTCTCCCATATCCATATCCATGTGGTCACCAAATGTCTTACATTTGCCCCTTCCCGCTGCCATCACCCCAGTCTAGACACTCTTCATCTTGCCGTCATCTTGGTTGCTACCATCTTACACACTGATTCTACATACCAGTGCCAGACTAACCTTTCCAAAAGACTACTTTGTTTCTTAGAAACCTGCTGAGACACTTCATTGCCTGCAGGAAAAAAGACTGAAGTCCACAGTTATTAGCCCCCTATAAAATTTCTGGTCTCAACCTATCCTCACTCTTCAATCTCCCATTACCTTGTTGACAAACTTTCATTACCAGCCAAACAAGACTATTTATTTATTATCACTGTGACATCTCCTTCCTTACACCGCATTCAAACATCACGTACATTCCTGTTTCTAACTTCCCTCTCATTGTTCTTACTGCCTGAAATATCCTCTCTCACCACCTCCTCTTGCATAAGTCCTTCATGGCCCAGCTCAAGCTACCCTTCCTCCAAGAAACTTTTCTCATGAGTCAGACCTTAGTGGCTTGTCTCTGAATTCTTTGCTGTTTATGAGGAATTTGCAGTTGAATTATTACCATAGCCTTCTAATCGGTCCTACCTGCTTCAAATGTCTCCTTTCTCCAGTTCTCCTTTCTGATGCCAAAGTTATCTTCTTAAAACACAGGTCTGACTATGTCACTCCCCCATTCAATAAATTCCAGTCATTCCCTATTATTTCTAGGGTCAAATAAAAACTCTCTTTGACATTTGAAATCTTTCGCTCATGGACTACAACTTAACTCTCCAACTTTCTCATACCTTCCTTTCCATTTCCTTCAGAATTCAACTCAGATGCCATATCCTACTTTTCTGATTCTGCTTCTCCCCCAACTTAGTTCTTACCCCTCTCCCCCCAAATTAATTTACATTTACTTTACATATTCTTATAAAATATGTGCATGTAAGTCTCCTCCAAAAAAGATCAAGGATTGTAAAATTTTTCTCTTTTCATTCCCAGTCTCTAACACATAGTAGTAAATATGTACAGTTGATTATTAATGCATTTATCATTTTATGTATGTGTTGGGTTTCTATAACTGGATGTAAACTTTGTGAAAGTTATGTCTTATTTGCCTCTTTCGTGGATTTGATTCTGATACTTATTAAGTACCTATTGAGAATAATTTGTCATAGTGCTGCTTAACTTTTTTTTTTAATTTTAATTTTTTTTTTCCATATGCTTTTGAGTTGAAAATTTTTTTCTCCCTTTTTCTCCCCCCCCACCCTCCCCAAGATGGCGAACAATCTGACATAGGCTTTACATTTACATACCCATTAAACATATTTTCACATTAGTGAAGTTGTAAGTAAAAATTAAAACCAATAGGAGGAACTATCAGAAAGATGAAACAAAACTCAACTGAAGGTAAAAATAAGTGAGAGCTATTCGACTTCCATAGTTCTTTCTTTGGATGTGGACAGCATTTTCCATCCCGAGGCCTCTGGAGATGTCTTAGATCCTAGTAATGCTGAGAAGGGTTCAGTTTAACATTCTTAGTCATTGCATAACGTGGCTGCTATTGTATACAAAGTCCTCTTGGTTCTGCTCACTTCACTCAGCATCAGACCATATAAGTCTTCCCAGGTTTTTCTGAAGTCAGCCTGTACATCATTTCTTATAGCACAATAGTATTCCATTACATTCATATACCACAACTTGCTCAGCCATTCCCCAGTTGATAGGCATCCTCTCAATTTCCAATTCTTTGCCACCACAAAAAGAGCTGCTATAAATATTTTTGTACATGTGGGTCCTTTTCCCATTTGTTTGATCTCTTTGGGATATAGCCCTAGAAGTGCTATTGCTGGGTCAAAGGGTATGCACATTTTTGTAGCCCTTTGGGCATAGTTCCAAATTGTTCTCCAAAATGGTTGGATCATTTCACAACTCCACTAACAATATATTAGCGTTCCAATTTTCCCACATCCTCTCCAGCATTTATCATTTTCCTGTTTTGTTGTGTTGGCCAATGTGATAGGTGTGATGTGGTACCTCAGAGTTGCTTAACCTTTTTCTCAAGTCTCTGGAACCAGTAGTTCTAGAAATTGCTTTGAGTGGCTATCCAAATAGCTACATTGTTGTTACTTTGCATATAATGGATGTTTCATAAACCTTTGTTGAATGTCAGGAAAAATAGCTTTAATCTTTTTATGAACTAATACATGGACATCCTGATGGTTGACAGTTACTGAAATTCTGTAACATAATAATAGTAAATTTTTCCAAAAAAATTAAGATAAATTTGTGTTAATTTGGAGGGTCCAATCAGTGCATTTGTGACCATCACAGCAATTTGAGACTTTGGAGTAACATAGATGTGATATGTAAGAACCCTTTTGAGATACCAAGCCTCTTACCATCTTCTTTCATTTTACTGCTCTGGTTATCACTACATTTTGCTTTGCAGCTTTGGAAGCAAGTATTTTAAAAGACTGCAGATATGTTAAAATTCTTGACATCTTAAAAAATGTATTTCTTCTTATTTTACAGATGCCTCTTCAGTGGACTTTGATGTCATTGATGTACAGTTCCTGTCAGACGCTTTCAAGAGATATCTCCTGGACCTGCCAAACCCTGTCATTCCAGGGACAGTTTACAGTGAAATGATTTCTGTAGCACAAGGTTGGTTTTCTCTTTTTAGACAACTCAATTAAGAATGCATTTAGAGATCTCAACTTAATTACATGTTGTTTATAGAGCCAGCTTACCTTTCCAAGCTGATTGCACTTTGTTTGCACCTCCACACTGTGCTCCAGCCCAGTGAAGCTACATCTTCCACCTCCATCTTTGCATAAATTGTCTCCTTTGCCTGGAATACTCTCCCTAGTTACTTCTGACTCTTTGAGCCTCTAGTTCCCTTCAAAGCTCAATTGCTCTCTCTCCCTTTGTCAGAAAGCCATTCCTTATTCCACAGGTGTTCTCTCCCCACCAGTCCCCCCTGAAATCACTGTATTTATGTTGTGTATATACCTTGTATTATCTCTGCATCTGTTGTATCCCACTTGTTCGATCATGTCCAATTCTCCGTGACCCCATGGATCTTAGCACACTGATGCTGTCCATGGAGTTTTCTTGGCAAAAGATGCTGGAGTGGTTTACCATTTTCTTCTCCAGTGGGTTAATGCAAATAGAGGTTAAGTAACTTGCCCAGGGACACACAAGTAATAAATATCTGAGGTCAGATTTGAACTCAAGTCTTCTTGATTCTAGGCAGAGTGCTGTTTCCTCTGAGCCATCTAGCTTACTCCTGTATCCCCCTAGTAGAATGTAAGTTCTAAAGGTGCTTTGCACACAGTAGATGCTTAATAAGCTCTTCTTTCTGAATAAGAAAAGATTAATATTAAATGGCTCATTTCTTCCCCATGAAACTGTATTGTCTATTGTACCCTAGTCACAAAAGCATCAAATAGAAGTTTACCCAGAAGGATGTGTCCACATGTCGAAATGGCTAATTGTTAACCTTTTATCAGTATTGGCAAAGTTCACTATCAGCAGAGGACACAGTGTTCAGAGGTTCAGTGGTAGTTTCAAGGAATTGGGATAGGAGACTGGTGAATGAGTATGCCCATTTCAGGTTTTTTTTTTTTTGATGATTGTTACAGTGTATGTTCACAAAAGATGGATGTCAGTGAGGAGCTAATGCTCTCATCACGTGCTCTTTGGGGCAGGATATCGTGGTTAGTAACCTTAAAAGTTAGAACCTGTGTCACTTATCGGGTACATCTCCAAGTTAGCCAATCACCCACCAGTGAACACTCGGTTGTGGCTTGTGCCAAGTGTCGCTTAGAATTGCATTTGGCTTAAGAAGATCTTACTTTGTCATGGAGATACTGTTTCTAACGAGAAGAACAAATACCCTGCTCCTCATGAAAACGGGTGTAAACTTTGCTCTCATTTGTACCTGTGCAGTTGTGGCAGAGAGTGGGAACACTTGCTGGCTGCTTATTTGCTGATCTCAGAAGCAGTTTCTGTTTCTCCTTGTAGAGCTACAGAGCACAGAAGATTATGTCCAGATGCTAAAGAAGCTTATGAGGACTCCTCACATACCTCATCAGCATGCGCTCACGCTTCAGTATTTGCTAAAACATTTTTTCAAACTCTGCCAAGCCTCGAGCAAAAATCTTTTGAACGCGAGATCTCTCTCTGAAATTTTCAGCCCTATGCTTTTCAGATTTCCCATCACAGGGTAAGTGTGTGTGTGTGTGTGTGTGTGTGTGTGTGTGTGTGTGTGTGTGTGTAAAAATGTTGGTCATCCCTTTGATATCCTACACCTTCAATTTTTGGGGCAAAACATGCTTTAAAAGGGCCGGCCCATTAATGGGTCTGCATGTTTGTATCTCCTGTTTGTAGAGAAAGATGTGTATTTTCTATTTTTTTTTTAAAGCAAAAGATTTCTGATAAGAAACTTTGGTTTTTGCAGCTCTGATAATGCCGAGCACCTCATAAAAACAATAGAATTTTTGATCTCAAGTGAATGGAATGAACGACAGCCTGCACCAGGTCAGCCTCCCTCCTTCCCCCGTTTTTGTTTTTGTTTTCTTTAAATTTGAAGAAGCTTTTCTTGCCTTATCCCCTTTCCTTTTCTTTGCAGTTATAAGGCTCTTGTAGAATTCGGTTCTATTTAGCATATTAATTTACCATTTTTATTTTTATTTTCTTAAAATTTAAGGAAGCTTTTCTCGCCTTATCCACTTCCTTTTCTTGACTCTTGTAGAATTTGGTTCTATCTAAAAAGCATATTAATTTGCCTTTTTTTGTTTTTATTTTATTAAAATTTAAAGAAGCTTTTCTCGCCTTATCCACCGTCCTTTTTCTTGACATTTATAAGCCTCTTGTAGAATTTGGTTCCATTTAAAAAGCATGTTCATTTTTTGATAAAGATTGAGCCGAAAGTCAGTGTGTGGGGTACGTGTTCACTGGTTTCAACACTTCAGGATTTAAATGATGAGTACAGAGGTCCTTGTATGCTTTCCTTCTCCCACAGGATACTTGAACAGGGTTGCTTTCAGTAGTTGACACTCTTATTTTTCTTTCTAATACTTATAAAGTAGGGAATTTATAATTACCCCAGAATTTGGAGTATTTTGCAATGTGTGTTTTGGAAGCAGGTATGCCGAGAGAGATGTCTTGTCAAGAAAAATAAAAAAACATTTTCAATAATACAAACCATCAAAAGCCAGAGTCTTCGCTGTAGCTGCAGCAAGTGGTAGCAAGCCAGATAGTTCTTTGAAAGCAGGCTGGTTGGTGTTCCATCAACTGTTGAACAGAGCAGGGAACAGATTCGATGAGTGGTAGTTTTCATTTGAAATCATAGCTCGATCTTTCCTCCTCTGAGATAACTTTTTCTCACGACCCCCTTGACCAATCTGGAAATGTGTCAGTAGTACTGATGAGAAGTAAATGCTGATCTTTTATACTTACACTGTACATGCTGTGGATGAAAGAAGGAAAAACCCCTAGACCTTAGATTTCAAGACCCTGTATGTATAGTCAGATACAGACATTTAACTTTTTTTTTTTAAACTAGTATGTTTTATCAGTACTATACTGCTGTGTACAAAAACATACCAAGGGTTAAACGAGAGATTCTGTTTATTTAGAATGGACCTGGTAAGGAAGGGTCAGGTTAACCAAAGTGAAATTTAGGGAGAACCTAGGAACTTGTGTTTCGCTAATTGTAATTTATGTTGAGAATTAAAAATTATGAACCTGTCATGAAAGATAGAGTACACCATTAGAAGGTGTTTCAAGCTTCATACCTACCCTTTGGCCTCTCGGCCTCAGTTTCCTCATTTATAAAATGGGAATAATAATACTTTTTTAGGGTTGCTTTGAAGATCAAAGGAAATGGTGCTTTTCAAATTTTAAAGCACTGTATAAATGTTGGCTATTGAGAGGTTGTGGGGTAGAGTGATAAAAGCTGAACCTTTCCCTCATTTGTAAAATGAGAGGGTTGAAGTAGTCTGTTCTACAATAACATGGCAATTTCACTTTCATTATAAAAATGTCATCCTCTTGTATAGTTCACATGTATGTACAACTATTTGTTGTATAGTATTAATATTGTGCCTTTCTGTAAGGAATATCCTTACAAAACCACTGCCTTCCTCTGCAGAATTAGCTGCAGTGGATTTATATTTGGGTCTACGAATTTATCACATGGTATTTATGGGAGAGGTCCTAGCACATAGGAAGAGTTAGGCTGCTGTGTAAATTGAGTAATTCTCTTTAAATAATTTTAATCCCTAATTTAAACAAAACACAGCAGTTAAATTGTGCCTGTATTCGTCATACATATTTAATGCAGCTATTTTCCTAAGGGGAAGGGACAGAATCGTTGAAAAGTTCAGGGATATTTAAGAGTCAATGTGAGAGAACAGTCTGCCTTTCAGTACTTTTAATCTAGCGACAATACCCTCCCAATCATGATGCTGGTAACTGATAAAATATTTTGTTAGGCAGTAAAGTAAAACTGTTAGCAGTATTGTTTCTTTTGTTAGACAGTTTAAAAAAAGAAAGAAACCTGTTATTTCCTTATTTGAAATGTATTGTGGTCATGGAATGTAAGGGCTGACTAAGACATCTTAGAGGCCATCTGATTCAGTTCCTTCATTTTTACAGTAACATAGTTATGCAGAGCTGGCACTAGATCTCATGTGTCTTGATTCCTTGTCCAATGGGACTTTTCCCTATGCTGCGTTGGATTTACTCTTCCTCTCCTTTTCCACTATCACCCTTAATCTAAATTTAGACTCAAGCAACAGATCTTTAGCATATCTGTCAAATCCCACTAAAATCTATCCTGCAAAATTCTGCCAACCAAAACTTCTTTATTTTTATTTTTTTAATATAGATTTATTTATTTTTAGTTTTCAACATTTACTTCCACAAGATTTTGAGTTCCAAATTTTCTCCCCATCTCGTCCCTCCCCCCACCCCAAGATGGCATGCATTCTGAATACCCCTTCCCCTAGTCTGCCCTCTTTTCTATCTCTCCCCTCCTTCTCTTATCCCTTTCCCCTTCTATTTTCCTGTAGGGCAGGATAAACTTTTGTACCCCATTTCCTGTATTTCTTATTTCCCTGTTGCATGTGAAAACTTTTTTTTTAAACGTGTTTTTAAAACTTTGGGTTCCAAATTTTCTCCCTTCCTTCCTCCCCACCCACCCTCATTGAAAAGGCAAGCAACTCAATATAGGTTGTACATGTGCAGTTATGGAAAACACTTCCATAGTAGTCATGGTGTGAAAAACTTAGTCTATTTCCCTTAATCTTATCCTGCCACCCCCCCCCCCAGCCATTTATTCTATTCTTTCTTTTGACCCTGTCCCTCCTCGCCCAATCTGCCCTCCTCTCTATCATTCCCCTGCTCTCTTGTTCCCTTCTTCCCCTGTTTTCCTGTAGGGTAAGATAGATTTCCATACCCAATTGAGTGTGTGTTATTCCCTCCTTAAGCCAAATACAATGAGAATAAGATTCACTCATTCCCTCTCACCTTCCCCGGTTTCCCCTCCACTTTAAGAGCCTTTTCTTTTCTTTTTTGTGAGATAATTTACCCTGTTCTACCTCTCCATTTCTTCTTCTCCCGGTATAATCCTCTCTCATCCCTTTATTTTATTCTCCAGATATGACCCCTTAATCTTCAACTCACCCTGTCCCCTCTATCTATCTGTCTATCTATCTATCTATCTATCTATCTATCTATCTATCTATCTATCTATCTATCTATCTGTCTGTCTATCTATCTATCTATCTATCTATCCATATAATTTTTCCCCTCCAACTACCCTAATACTGAAAAGGTCTCATGAGTTACAAATATCATCTTTCTATACAGGAATGTAAACAGTTCAGCCTTATAAGTCTCTTATGATTTCTCTTTCCTGTTTACCTCTTCATGTTCCACTTGAGTCTTGTATTTGAAAGTCAAATTTTCTATTCAGCTCTGGTCTTTTCATCAAAATGCTTGAAAGTCCTCTATTTCACTGAATGACCATTTTTTCCCCTGAAGGATTATACTCAGTTTTGCTGGGTAGGTGATTCTTGGTTGTAATCCTATCTCCTTTGCCCTCCGGAATATTATATTCCATGCCCTGCGGTCTTTTAATGTAGAAGCTGCTAAATCTTGTGTTATCCTGATTGTGTTTCCACAATACTTGAATTGTTTCTTTCTGGCAGCTTGTAATATTTTCTCCTTGACCTGGGAACTCTGGAATTTGGCTACAATATTCCTAGGAGTTTTCCTTTGGGGATCTCTTTCAGGAGGAGATCAGTGGATTCTTTCAATTTCTATTTTGCCCTCTGGTTCTAAAATATCAGGGCAGTTTTCCTTGATAATTTCTTGAAAGATGATGTCTAGGCTCTTTTTTTGATCATGGCTTTCAGATAGTCCAATAATTTTTAAATTCTCTCTCCTGGATCTATTTTCCAGGTCAGTTGTTTTTCCAATGAGATATTTCACATTGTTTCTATTTTTCATTCTTTTGGATTTGTTTTACAGTGTCTTGATTTCTCATAAAGTCACTAGCTTCCAATTGCTCTATTCTAATTTTTAAGGAAGTATTTTCTTCAGTAAGCTTTTGGACTTCCTTTTCCATTTGGCCAATTTTTCTTTTTAGGGCATTCTTCTCCTCATTGGCTTTTTGGACCTCTTTTGCCATTTGGGTTAGGCTATTTTTTAAGGTGTTATTTTCTTCAGTATTTTTTTGGGTCTCCTTTAGCAAGCTGTTGACTTGTTTTTCATGATTTTCTTGCATCACTCTCATTTCTCTTCCCAGTTTTTCCTCTACTTCTCTTACTTGCTTCTCAGAATCCCTTTTGAGCTCTTCCAAGACCTGGGACTGATTTCATATTTTTCTTGGAGGCTTTGGATGTAGGAGCTTTGACTTTGTTGTCTTCTTCTGGTTGTATGTTTTGATCTTCTTTGTCACCAAAGTAAGATAATATAGTCTGACTCTTTTTGCGCTGCTTGCTCATGATCCTGGCCAATTACTTGAGTTTTAAACTCTTTGTTAAGGTAAGAGTCTGCTTCCAATGTGGAGAATGTACTGTCCCAAGTTTCGGGGGTTTGTGCAGCTGTTTTCAGAGATACTTGTAGGGACATGTAAATTTGCAGTTCTTCCAAGGTGGTATGATAAGGGGTGAGTTGTTTACTCCTTTCTTGGCCTGTGCTGTGGTCTATTAGTGACCACAAGCACTCCTTTCTGTCCTGGAACTGTGAGGAGGGTTTCCTCTTCACAGCCACTACAAGCTCCACTGCGCCAGCACTTCTCCTCACCCTGGCACCGCCACCCAGGACTGTGACCCAGTTCCAGACACGGGCAAAAGAAGAGATTCCTGCATCAGCACTGGCAAAGAGATCCCTGCAATCCCCCTCTGATCAGCCAACGGATCCCCCCTCAGTCTGTGGGCCCAGAAGCTCAGGAGGAAGCCACCACCCCCAGGGCCCACATGCTTTACTCTTGGTAAACTGAAGCTGAGACCCGGTGTTCCCCTCTCACC